TTTTCCCCGTCTCTTCTCGTATGCTACCTCGTCGGTATAAGTCTACTTTTGTATTGTAACCATCTAGACACAACTCTGGTTACACGAACATGTTGGCACAATCTCTTTCTCTGTCTAATAATTCGCAAAGATTAAAAACGAAACACTTGTTTGATCAACTCTATCCTTTCTCAGAACTTTCATCTTTACCTAATGATTCAAGGAACAGTATCGTCAATGTATCAATTTCTTCGTGCAAATCCAACTTTTTTTTTAACTGTTGGAAAGCTAAATCAAAATTTTCATTCTTGTCTTTTTATTTATATTTAAATTAATAAATAAAACTATTTATTACGTTATACCGCAATTTTACTTATTGTTATTGCGATAATTATTTTATTATTGTAATAATTTTGCTGCGGAGAAAACTGTGTTTCGTTCTTCGACAATATGCAGGACAGATTGCACAATAATGCTCAACCAACTGTTAATACAATGCATAGCCGTGTGTTTAGTGTCAAAGGTTAAACGCCATTGATCGTCATCTCGGCTTCATCGCAATGTCTATCGACTTGTTACATTGAAGTCCGACGGTATCAGATCGTGAAACCATCTAATCTCAGATTAGCGACTCGAGGTAGAATTTCAGAAGGACGACTCTTCCGGGTAGAGCTACTACTACGTTTTCGATCCCCCCCCCCCCAAGGGTTAAATGTATCACGAGAAAAACAAGACCTCCGCGGTGATGCAGGGCAATGTTACTTCCTCTTCCCATCGCCATCTCCGTTTCCTCGGGCAAAAAAGTGACCGCGGCGGTACCGCAATCGCCGTCGTTCTACAAGGTATGCTAAAGCTCACTATAAGCGCAAGAAGCGGTGACGGAGGTGGTCGCGATCGGTCTCTCGGGCAACCTCGAAGGTGGAAGGAAGCAGCCAAGCTAGGCGTGAGTCATCGAGGCGAGACAAGATCTCGGGTAAGGAGGCGGCCTTGATGTCGCAAAACTGTTCGCGATATCGGAACGCCGACTCCAATGATCGTCGTCACGTCGCGCGCTGATATACTCTATAAGCCGCTCCAAGGAGGATTAGGGTAAATCGAAGCACTATATAGAGTGTTCAAGGAATACCAGAAATTTCTCTCTACCACAGATTCCTAGTGTTTGTACTTTAGCTGACTACACAAGGATGTCTTCTCAATTAACTCCTTGCTCGCGAACGCCATATATATATACATTTTTATCGAGTAGGATTGGAAACTTCGTAATTTGATTTTATATACTTTTGTTATTATTTTTGACACGTTATATGCTAATTTATATAAGAATAGATTAATACATTGTTGATATTTAGAAATATTAGTGACGAAAGAGTTAATTAGCGATTTTGAGAAATTTGGAAAAACAATGGTAGTTTTCTTTTTAGAAATTATTTAAAAATATTGGAGAGAAAGAGAGAGAGAGAGAGCGATGGCATGGGGAAAGAATTTTGTTGCTATGTAAAGAATATCAGATGCGACATTTCGCTTTTGATGTCATTCTATGCAGTTGATCCCAAATCTTAATGAGCACGATGGTAGTGTTTTTTTTTTTTTTTTTTTTTTTTTTTTTTTGAAAACGCGTCCTTTGCCCGAGTAAATTTCTCCAATGCATTAATTATAGTTTGATTATGACCATCAGACATAAATCTTGCTTAACGCTCTTGAACAGGTTCTAAATATGTTTTATTTTTTAATTTGGAAACGCGACATTTGAAGATTGTATATTGTCATAATTGCGGATTCGAAGTGTATCGGCACGTATATCATTCCGAAACGTGTCTCTGATCGGCGAGTTCAGTGACCCGGACAGCGAATTAAAGTGACAAATTTGTTTCTCAGAAATACACAATGTTATTAACCGGCATCTTTTGGCAATGTCTTTAAATTCTAATTATATGTATACATGACACGAGAAACTTGCAGTTTTTTTATTCCATAAAAATATTTGTATGCAAATCGATAAGCGAAAACATGCGTTATGAAGAATCGTGCGCTAAATTAGCCGAATCGAGTTAATTGATCAATAGTACTATATATCTCGTACTTCAATGCTTTTTAAAACAATTATCTTGCGTTGAAATTAACATTTAGTTTATGTGTAAGCAAAATATAAGAAAATGAAGAAACTTAGAGAGTTAAAAGAATTTCTCTCTATTATAATAAATTGTAATATTAATATAATTGTAATATTAATATATATATATATATATATATATATAATACAGAAATACTTTACGAAATATTTGGACAAACTTTTAGGATATTCTTCATGTCAAAATAAAGGAAAAAGTTTATATAAATAATTTATAATCGAATATGAGTGGTTGCGAAGTTATAAAACAAAGTTTTATATATATATATATGTATATATATCATATTAATGTTTTATCCGCTTTAATTAACATTACTGGTTTGTTTATTCGTATTGCTACTTTGTGCTTCTAGTAATATTTATACAGAAATTACAGTTCTTTAAAATATACGCCCAGAAAATTATAGCCGTGTCAAACGAGATCATAATCTCAAACGTTACCGTTTTCTGACTCGAGCAATGCCTAATCTAACGTAAACCGGGCTTTAAAACGATTTGATCTAACCTGAACTAACATGTTTCTATTATGTATTAAATTGCGGATAATTATAAAGAAATGTTTGTAACCTTGCATACCGGCGTATGCCGGAAAACACTTGCGCTTTAACGGCCTACAGAACGGTAGACAATCGTTTGTTGCTGGCCTTCCGCGGCGTGCTGTGAAATCATCGTTCCCAACGCTGAATATGATAACAACGAGGTGGCTGCTATTATAGCCTCTTCATGCCAATATGCGATGCGTGCATGAATAATTTAAGTAAGCGAGTCTATCCAACATTGAGAAGAATCAAGAGGAGATGAGATGTGTGGAAAAACTCAAAAGTATAACAAATAATACAGCGTGAAATGAAAAAGAAAATCTCATTATGAAATGTAAACTTTAAAAATATAGATTAATAAATAGATGCTAAAGTTTTTAAAAAAAGCAAATTATATAGTATACACATATATACATACACATATATACATAGTATACCCATATATACATATAATCTGTAATTCTTGTAAGATTATTTATGATTTAATCAGATTAGAATTTTTCTCGCGAATAAAAATAATTACATGTGTCGGTATTAATGTTTAATGTTTTTCTAAATTTTGAAGTGGTTTTTCTTGTGATTGGCGCTACGAAAAAAAGCAGACATTACCCGAGAGAGAAGAGAGATCCGTTATCACCGGTAAAATCAATCGAATAGAAAAATCAAATCGGCTCATTACCGATTTAGTATGTAAATAGTTCAATTTGCAGCTGCACAAGTGCAAACAATCTGAACTGATATAGGCCTAGAGGAGGGAAGACCACGTATATTTGCGTAGCTTATATATCTATTCATTTTTTATGTCAGTTGGAGCTAATTTTCATTGCTACTGGCCATACTTACTCCAACTAGATTTCTTTGAGCGAGAGATCGAAGGAAAAGAAAATTTTCTTTATTGTAGAATAGAATAGACAAAACTGTCCACAAAATCGAGCAGTACCTCATATGGTTAAAAACGTAACCTACGGTATATCTTTAATCGAGTGATCATAAATTCATGAAAAAAATTAATTAACGCTGCTAATGATAAAAACTTTATAGAAAACTAGAACGCTATAACGCGCGCCATTTATTTTGTGTTTCTGTGTATAATTATTTATATATTAGCTTTAGTTCTCCGTTTTTTACACACATATAAAAAATATTTAAAAAATCGTAATTTTCGAAACGCGGAGGTCTATTTTATTATAATTATTATATTTTCTTATAGTTTTAACTGTTTTTTTATTTCGAAGGAGTTTTAATCATTAACAGCATTAATTAATCTTTTCACGTTTATATGATAGCCCGATGATAGCCGGGTATTAACCGGCCTATATTGACAAGTTTTTGTAGTTTTAAATTTACAAAAAAAAACATGAATTTTGAATCATGACAAAGATATTTGAGAAAGACTTCCTCATCTAATAATTTTTTGATAATTTTTTTTCTTTAAGTTACACTAAAACATTGTTACATATTCTAATTTTTACTCGCTTTTCATTCAAATGCAGTCTAATATAACAAATATAAATAGTACGAGACACGAGAACAATGCGAGAAAAACATTTTGGTTTAGAAAAAAACAGCTGACTTGAAATAGAGGAAGATTTATGATAGAAAATATTGTACTAAATTCTCATTTTTTTAAATTCTTTTCACAAATGTTTTTAGAAAAAGATTTGTAAAAAAAGATTTAAAATATGCTTACGCTCGTTAAGCGATATTCACAAATTTTGTGTTTCAGAGATAATTTGAGAAAAAGGTATTATGTTTACATATTTAAACAATTTTTAATCTAATATAATCTAATATATTTTTAATCTAATATAAGTTTATCAAAATTATTTTTAACTGCTTCTAAAATGAGCTACAAAGCCATTGCAATTCAAAAAGTTAATAAATAAAACTACAACATTTGTATACATAAGTACATGCATTGGTGTGTATGTGTGTGTAAAGTCTGCTATATATTGACTATTTTAATAGTCATAATTTGAGTAAAGATTAATGATTTTAATCGTATATGTTTCTTACTCTGAATGACATCGCACCAGGTGCTATGGCGATTTTCTTTTTAAAGAATATTTCGCATATTTAATGTTTACAATGCACTCTGAGCAGTTTTCCTTTTAGAAAACATCACTATTGACAATTACTGAAATATAATAAATGCAATGCAAATTATAAATAATTGAGAAAATTATATTTTCTCAATTAATTTCTATAAATTATATCAACTATAATTAAAATAGAATTTAAACAAAAAAAAAACAAATATATAAGTTATGTAAATTATTGTAGATTTGGGTGTTAAATTTTTATAATTATGCACTGTGAGCATAGCTATGTTTTTTATATCTTATAAATGTTTCGTATAATTTTAAACATTACAATGTAATTTATGTGGTATATATATATTTTTTAGAAAGCGTTGGAAATTATTTTTGTTAACTCTTATAAACTATAATGCTACGAGAAATTTTGGCATACATTGCAATTTTGTATTAAAAGACCTTAGGTTTCAAATTTTTGGAAGTTAAGATTGTAAGCATAATTTTAGCTTTGACAAAAGTGGAAACTAGTAAGATTTAAATGGCTTTGAAGTTAAAATTATGCACTATACATAAATCACAAATAAATACACAATATATTCAATAATTATTGAATATATGTGTGTATGCATTTTATAACTATAT